TGCTTCATCAGCGATCTTCTTAAACTCTGAGATCAAAAAACACAATGTAGCAGAGGAGTGAATAGTCATGATCAAACAAATGCCAGCTAAGTCAAGTGGAGCCATGTCTACCATTATAATACCAATGACAATGAGTCACGTGCTAATGACTGAAGAGTCAGCTAAATGGTAACCACGGTGGTCTGAAGGAACTTGAAGATCAACACAGAACATAGGTTTACATTATGCGTGGCTGTTGACAAGGATCAACTTGTGGGGGTGACATTATTGGTTACCATTGACCAGGTTCAGTGGCATTACATTGCTTGTGAAACTCTTTTCTGGCTTTCCAGCCAACCTTGATTTTCAGAAATTTAAATGCCATATAAATCGTTATCTACCATTTTCTTGATTCCTCTTCTTTTATTGTTCTCTCTCTTTAATGTTTTTCTTTTTCTTTCACACTCAGTAACTTCTTGTGTCTTAGTGGATTTATTGCCTTGCTTGGGGTGATATGATTAAATATATGATATAAAGTTTTATATATCTGAAAAATGTTGCATAATTGAATGACAAATTGAAAAAATTCTATGTAATGTTTCATCCCTTAAAATATATATAATTGAATATGTTAACTTCTGAAAATAAAACAGTACTATTTTTATACTTTGGTCCTATGCATGCATTGGAACACCATGTTTAAAAGTCCCTGTGCTGTGTCTAGAACATGTGTGTTGTGAGTTTGATCCTCACTGGGTGCCTTATACTTTTGCCCTTGTGCCATAACTGAGCTATGCTTAGTCAATCACTATAAATTCAATGAAGCCTTGCTGGATTTGTTCATATAATTATATAAGTTTGCATTTATGAAGTAGTAGTTTTATATATTTACTTATTATAAGGTCCCTACTGAAGAGTCCATTTTTGAAACAAACATTGCTGACGAGTGAAAGTAGTTAAAAAAGCAATATCATGGGGAAAAAACCATCATTTTGAAGTTCTGTCTTATTGTGGGCATGTTTATCCATGTTTGCCTAATCATATTTCTAAAGAATAACATTGAAGACATCTTACTTAGATAAAAAAAAAAAAAAAATCATAAATGTCTGCTTTGAACTTTATCCTCTAATTTGTAATTTGAGTTTTACTTATAAAATTCTTGTACCTTGCTATTTCAAAACTAATTTTTTAATTGGGTTTTGTTGAAATCGAAATGTGGGTCAGACCAGTTGGATCACCTCTTGTGATCCCTATTCTGTTAATTAGGCCTACACAAAATGCTCCCTGTGATAATCCCCAATATGTCTCACAAGGGGTTTTCAAAATAATGAGCTTTTGTTTTAGCATTCATCATGATAAATTCAGTCATTGTTTTGCGGCAGTATGATTTATTCAGCCGTTATTTCACTGTCTTTATATTTACTTAATCCTTTTAACTCTCAATAGAAAAAGAAACAATTTTCTTACCATCCTTCTCTCTATATATGTTTCTATCTCACCAATACAAATTAAATTTCAATTTTCTTAAATTCATCCTTAGTAATTTACACTAAAAAATTACTCTTGTGGCCTGCAGCTAATTTTCTATGATCAATGTGGCCCTTTCATGTTATTTAATTGTGAAAACCTAGATTAGATAAAAGGTTCAGTTCAAAATTTTCTGAAGGTTGCCTAGACCCACAAGCACCTGAAGAAGTTCAGAGGGCACAATGGTCAAAACGCTGTGATAATAACAACAAGGATGAGGACATTAGTCTAAATGTAAATAGAGAAAAAGATATTAGCTTAAATTCTTAATTATTTCAGGTCACTCTGCTGACAATGCAAAAAAATAAAAAGACCATTTTGTTTGAAGTGATAAGGTATTTCTTCTGAAATTGATTTATTTTGTCATTGCTCATTCTTTTAATCTATCACTGAGGTTTTGATGTTTTTTAAAAAAAGAAAATGAAAGCATATAAAAAATTCATTTATAGCACCAATGATTTTATTTAGTCATTGTTTCACTGTCTTTGTATATAATTAATTCTTTTAATTCTCATTAGGAAAAGAAAAAAACATTTTTTCTCAACTTAAAATTTTGTATCTGAATATTTCTTCATCTATATATATATGTTTTTGTGTAAATTGTGTGTGTATTTTGAAAATTCCTTTTCAATATATATCTTTTCTAAATAATAATCTCTCTCTATATATATATATATATATATATATATATATATATTTTTCTATCTAATCTTCTATATACCTGTTTCAATCTCCCTCTCTCTATATCTTTTTCTATTTCACTCTCTATTTATATCTGTTTCTTTCTCACTCATACTCAATAATTTTCTCTTGACTAATTAACTGCAATTAATGTCACTCTTTACATTGTTTTAATTAATTAGGCCCACTATTAATTAATCATACCTTTCAAAGCAGTATCTGCATGTAAGTGAATTTCTCCAATTCCTCAATCTGAGCCACTATCCATTACTCCTCCATGCCTCCACTCCAAGTCTATAGGACCCAGTCTGTCCTGCTATTTAACCCATAGCTTGGGGTAGAAGAAATGAAATCCATTATTTTAAATCAAATATTTTTTGGCAACCAGTCTAGAAGAAGGACAATTCTGAATTCAAAAATTCTATGGGTTAAATAGCCTCACCAGTCCACAATTGGACAATCATTGTGAGTACGGCTACACCCTTTAAGACATGGTCAATCAGGGAGGGGTTCTTTCAAGGAGTATGAATGCCCTGGATCTGTTCTAATGAGCTTTCATCCCTGGTACCTTTTAACTATTCTCACTACTATCTTTATCATTTACACTATTTATATTCTGACTATTGTTTTTGAGGACAATAGTCTGAATATAAATGGTGTAAATAATGATAGCTCCCCATTCCAGAAATTCAGACAGAGGTACTATCTATTTTAATTTTGACTGAAACAATAAAGATGAGGATAATAGTCTGCTTATTACATGAACAATATTATGCATTTAAAAGTGAAATGATATGTTAATCAATTTCTTTATTTGTTTTCATTGTGCCATTCACTGGTCAAAATACAAACCACTCCTTAAAAATTTAGTGTCAAGGAGCCTGTATAATTATGTAAAATAATAAAATAATTTATTTGGGTATTATCTGGGTGTTAATCAAATATATGTTCCTATGGCATAAATCTACAACCAATGTTGTATTTTGTTTGTATAATAAAATCTGATACTTGTAGAACAAATTATTATCCATATTTTCAATTGAAACTTTTAATATTGCTCATATAATTTTAAGTCCATTTTGAAAATCTTATCAACCCTGTGTGGATTTGTACTAATTTTATTCTGAAAACATTGATTTGCATAATAAAGCTTGATATATTGTATTTCTTAAGTTTTGTTTTTAGTGCATTTAGGTCAGGCAATTCACTGGTTAGAATATAAATCTCCCTCTAAAATATTGTAAAGATACCTATATTAATATGTAAAGTAATAAAATGATAATGCTAATAAAGTAATAGTAATAAAATAATAATTTATTTGGGTATATAGAATAGTGTGCTAATTAAAATATGGGCAAACATGGACCTTTATGCCTGCCCAAAAATGGTGTTTGAAAAGGACAGTTTTTCCATTGACACTGCTATTATTTTAACTTCATTTACTCCCTCAGTAATGTTTATTTACAAGATTATAAAAAAATTATTTACCTTTTATAAAGATTTATTACATACCATTTTTATAAAGAAATAGTGGAGTCAATGTAAAAACCATCTTTTTGAAACACCATTTTTTTTGTGGGCACAAAGGTTCATGTTTGCCAAAATGTGTTTCTATGCTGTAAATCTTTGTTTATAAATAAAAATCATTTTACTATTTAAAAACTAATTTTTTTAATTGTGCTTTGCCTAAATTGAGATCACCTTTTGCTATCCCTATTCTGTTTATTAAGCCTGCACAAAATACAGCCTGCAAGCTACCCAGTGTAAAAATAGGAGGTTTTCAAAATAGTCATTTTTTTGTAAAATAGAATGTAAAATAATATAATATGACATCTGTAAAACAAGGTGTTTATTAGAATAAATATTATAAGATGAAATTCTTAATGTTTCTCATATAAATGTAATCTTGAAAACTTTATCAACATTGCGTTGGTTTATAGTATATAGTAGTTGTGAAAACATTGACTTGTATTATAAAATACAATATTACATACTGTATTTTTTGACACCTTTACCAATATTGAATTGGTTTATAATAATTTTATTATAAAAACATGTTATATACTGTACCTATGAATACTAATGGGTATGTCCCAATCCTCATGAATATTGTATTTTGTTGATGTTATTATCATTTCATTTCTAACCTCTGTTTTGGTTATTCCTCATGCAGTAATCCTTCTTAGGTTACAACAGAAAGAAAAGAAGAAAGAAAAAATGAATGAAGGAAGGAAGAAGAAAAATTGGCAAAAAGAATATGTGTTGAAAGAGAGAATGAAAAACAAAATATGAATGGATGAATAAAAGACGGAAGGATAAAAAAGAAAAATTGGTGAAAATGAATGAGCATTGAAAGAAAGTGTTATATACCATACCTATGAACACTAATGGGTATGTCCCCAATCCTTATAAATATGTTAGACACTATTATAAGTGGGGGTAATATGTTGTCTAAGTAGTCCACAACTAGCAGTGGTTTACCTACTTCATGCCGCTGGCGAGTATTGTATTTTGTTGATGTTATAAAGATTACTATTTCATTTCTAACCTCCGTTTTGGTTATTCCACATTCAGTAACCCTTTCTAGGTTACAACAAAAGATTAACTTGTATAAAATCTGGTGTATGACATTGTATTTTCGTAGGTTTTGTTTTCATTGCATTTTGATCAAGTCATACACTGATCAGAATACTTCCTTTAAAAAAATAAAATAGAATATAAAATTAAAAAAAAACAATGAAGAAAATAATTGAATTCAAAATGTTTTTTTTCCTCACTTTCATTCTCATTTTCATATTTATTTACCTAAAAAGGGTGAGCTGGCTTGAACGAGATATCAGCCAAAAGCGGCATTTGATTGAAGAACAGAAAACAAAGATAAAACATATGGAAGATAATGCCAAGTCCATCACTGACACAGTTGTGAGTTTTTCTCTCCTTTTCAATTTATTTTCATTCATCTTTTTGGTTAAAAGCAAATATTTACTTAAGACTGATTTAATTTCAAATTGTCTACAGGATTTTTATAAATAAATATAATTACTATAGTCGTATTTCATGTCATGATATGTGGACGTTTTAAACTAATTTATCCCATAAAAATATGCCTTTGAATTATACACAATGTATAAATTTTGGACTTATTAACCATTACCTTATGGTGAAATACCAAAGTTATTTCCACAGCTTATCTTAGACTGGCATAAGGTCAAATAGATGAGGAAGAATCAAACAGAACTACTTGATTTATTTTCTAAACAGACTGTGGCATCTACAATAAATATTTTCCAAAGATATGCTTAGTTTGTAATTGTCATATACCAGCCTGTGTTTTTAGAGTATGTCTATATATATATATATATATATATATATATATGTTATATTCCGTATTTAGATGCGTGGGCGATGTGAAAACAATGTGGGCGAAATACTGCGTTTGGTTGCAAACAATGAAATTCAGAATCGAAAGAACAAGAAAGACTGTAGATATATTTTATAGTCTTTTTAGTGAGGAAAATAAGAACAAGTAAAAAGTTTGTATTTAAAAGTTGAATGTCTAAAAAGTGGCAAGTAAAGTTCGTGGAGTTAACTTGACTTATGGAAGGGGAAAGGTACCCTTTGACAAGGCGTTGGATGAAAGTTCATTAGCAGCAGCGGTCACATGCTTCGTTAAATCGCTGGGCCAGTGTGTCAGAGCGAGCGACGTTGTTTTCTGCCTCCGCCGTTGAATGGGACTCTTTTGACTTTCCCGTGTTGAACTTATACACGCCTATCAGCTCCAAATGGCAATTTTTTGACTATGTGGGAGACGGTCCGATTGGTTGATTTAATTCTTTCATTTTTTTTTGAGTTTATCCCAAACGGAAGTATCTGCGTCGAGCCTATGCGTAGACATGCAATTTTCATTTCGAGTCGGGGACTCGTGATGGTAACTTCCGTTTATCGAAGCATCTTGTAACATATATATATATATATATTATACTAGTAACTATACTTGGTTGGTGAAAAAACCTGGATGACACAATTCACAAATATAAATATATCAAAACAAATTGGTATCTGGGGAAAAAAAAGAAAGAAATAGAAACATAATTGTCCAGTGCCTTAAATTTCCAGTCTCCACCCCCACAAAAAACAACACAGTTACATAACTAAGATAAAATATAAAGTGCTCAATACACTATGTAGAGCAAATAAATAAAATGATTCCTACAGAGCCAGGAACTACCTATGTTTCACCTAAATGGATCTTCAGGGTGAACTGGCTAAAGAGGATAAAACAAGGAACATATTTATTGATTAAAACCAACCAATAAAAATAAACTAGACCTACCATATCATAAAATCATGTGAAAAAAAAAAAAAAGACAGAAAAGAAAGCTTTATTCCAATAACCAAGATTTCATCTGTTTAGAATTTCAGATCTCTGGTTTAGTAAAATATTAGGAAATTATATTAATATATATATATATATATATATATATATATATATATAAAATGGTTGACAAGGAAGATTTAATTAATCTTGAGTTTTTCCAGCATTCTAACATTTTCTGCATTTTTCAAGGGTTAAAGAATATAAAAATTGTCCATAGTTGTTATTCTAAATGCTTTCAGCTAGTTCTATAGTCATTATCAAGGATGTTGTTTTGGTATGGTGAGTTTCATGTGTTAACTTCTAAATAGTAGTTTAGCTGTGTGGAGATCAGCAAAAGAGTGTATGTCTTTTCAGCATCACATGTTATGTGCGACTGGTTGACTTGGCATCACTTCTATTTTTAGAAAACATTTAACACACCATCTCCACTACTAAACATTGCAAGATTGATATAATCACCAAGAATTATATAGTATTAAATACTGAATAGTTTCTCTGCTTTTAAAAATGAAAATTATTTTGCTTTATATTTTATAAGCAGTGATTTTTAGGTAGTATTAAAAACCTTTTTTGTGCTAGTATGTGTGCATATATATATATACAATTAACTCTCCCATTGATTTTCATGTATGAGGATCTGACAACCTTTTTTTATGTCATATGTGACACTTCACTCCTGCTAGTGACCTGCATATATCCATATATTGTGTAAAAGCGAGTATCTTGAGACATAACAACAAGAATATTTGCTGAGGCTTTTCACTGTTTCTTTTGTCTCTTAGCTGGTCAATACCACCGATTTCAAAATGTCTGATACTACTCTGGCACAAATATCTCCATTTATTTATATCCAGGGCAATTTGCTTGAAGTTAGTATGAGACACATTGACAGCTGAGAGGTTACTCTTTAGCTTGTCTTTATACCTGAGATCAGCCCATCCCAGCAAAGTTGTAACAGCATCAGGAAAGTCTTAATTCCACCATTATTGCATTTTGCCTTTTTGATCAGCATTGCACACCCTATCATCAATATATATATATATATATATATATATATATTATTTCTATAAACATATTTAGTGAATACATGTGTTTGAATTGACATTTCTATTTTCTGCTTTTTAAACAGTGCAATTGTTATCTACCAGCCTGTGTTTTACTGTCTTTATATATACTACAACGGGAGTAGATAGGTTTGCCTATCATCCGGTGTACACTCCTCCTCTAGTCTTTTGAACAGGAGTAGAGGTTTATCTTTTGTTTCCTTTTTAGGATTCAGTTTCTGGTTCCTTCTAAAGTCTTTTTCATTCTTTTTCACTCTCAATAGCCCCTTGCATCTTAATGGCATTATCACCTTGTTTGGTGTGAATTGATTTAAAATAATATATATATATATATATATATATATATTTAATCATCAAGAATTATATACTATAAAATAATGTAAAGTTTCTGTAATTTTCCATTTTAAATTACTTGCTTTGTATTTTATAAATATTATTATTTTTTTTAATTTTAAGGTAATCACAATGTTTTTTAGGCAGTATTATGCACTTTTTGGTGGTACTGTGTGTGTGTGTGTGTGTGTGTATATATATATATGTATATATATATATATATATATATATATATAGGAAAAGACAAAATTTATAAGGCATTTTTAAAAGAAAAAGCTAAAAAAACAACTGGTTTCATCCCAGGAAATTATCAATTTATTTGAACTTGGGAATATAATTTAAAAAGCATGTAAATTAATTTAAATTAACGAATGGGATGGATTTTTTTTTCTTTCTTCTATTCCATTTGTTAATTTAAATTAATTTACATACTTTTTAAATTTCTACTATCAAAAAACCAAATATTGATTAGGAAGGTACAAAAAGTTTTTTTTTTTTTTTAGCTTTTTTTTTAAAATGCCTTAAAATTTTATGTTTTCCTATCTAATAAATTCTGTACTACAAAAAACTTATTTAAATATATATATATATATATATATGTATATACATAAAATAAAAGTGAAACAAAATAATGACACATAATCGTAGTTGATAAACTCAAGTTGGCAATTAAAAGTGCTCAATATAAGATAGAACCCATAAAGTGTAAAATAAATAAAATGAAGAATAAAATCAAGGAAACTCAAGTTTCAGCCTTTCAATGATGGATTGTCTGTCTGTAGCAAGTTGTGCTCTCAATGTAGGCCTTAAATATGGAGAATTCTTTTTTTCTTCATGGACTGGGTATGAGTGTCATCCGGGTTCTATTATTAATTTCTTTGAGGGTAACATTTTAATTTTAGTAGTCCCTTCAGAAAATTTCCATCTTTGGAAAAAAAAAAAAAAGAAATGTTGAACAGAAAAAGAAACTTTTTTTTTTTTTTTTTTTTTTTAATCATTTAATACAAGAAATAAATGTCTGAGGAATTTTGAAACTTTTGTTCTTCAGGAAAGCCTAAGTCAAGCCTTGAAGCAAGGAACAGATAGTCACGAGAAGCGCAGAGTACAGGTCAGTTCAGTGCAATCTCTTCTTTTCAAAGATGAAATATTCTTTAATTCTCTGTGTTCAAACTGGGTAAATGTTCTTATTGTCCTCAGAGAGAATGCTAGTCAGATAAGCTGATGTGCAAGTGATTCTTTAGAGATTTTCTCCCATATATCTTACATGTATGTGTGTATGTCAAAAGTTTTGGTATCTAGACAAGTCAAATAACATGACTTCTATGGATACAGTGGAAACTAGGTGTTAAGGTAAACAATATCTTTTATGGTTACATTCCACAAAATTCTAGTTTGCAGAAGCATCTTATATTTGTATGTTTATAAAGACACATATAATGAATAGTTTTGAAAGAAGAAATGTATGACAAATTGGAAAAAGTTTTTGTGACATTGTGATCCAATGCAATCCTCATGGATGAGACATGTCACAAAATCTTTTTTCAATTTGTCATATGTCATTTCTTTCAAAACACACACACACACACATATATATATATATATTTTAATATATTTATTGTTTATACGTTATTTTTCTAGATACAAATATTTAAGTAAATGCTCTGTTTATAATAAACAGTATTAACATTTTTGGCCTGAATAAAAAGAGAAATTTCATAGAAAATTTTCCTCTGACAGGAATTGAAACCTATATCCTACATGGAACCATCATATTATATACATATGTCAACTGCTATTTAGCTACATTTTTTTAGCAATTTTTAGCAATATCAATTACTAATTTTATAACAAATTTATATGATTTCTCCCAAATACCATATCTCCACGATATGTAAATCTTAATAGAAAAACAAATCATTCATAAACAATAAATATATTAAAATAATTGTTCAATTTTAGTCTTTATTAATAAATATGACATCATTTGTTTACATTTTTTTCTTCAAGCAGATTAATTATATTTGAGAGAAATTAATGGGATTTAATTTAAAATAAAAAGAAAATTATAACCAGATTTGTATAAAATCTTAAATAAATTATATAGACACAAATATTTAAGTTATGAGGATCAAAACAGGACACATATTTTTATGAAAAACCAAAATGGACATATTTGCGGAAAATGTAATTTAATGCTTTTTTTTTATTTATAGAACATTTATATATATAATATATAAAAATAATTTTAAAAATATAAATATATAAAATAAATTTTAAATTAAGTCGATTTCATTTATAAATATATATATATATATATATATATATATATATAATATGTAAAATGTGTGTGTTGTGTGTTTGTATTCAAACAAATTTTGTTGAAAATTTAAAGATATACTACATCTGTTTATTCTTGTTTTAATCCTTTTGAGACCATGAATCAATATCTTGGTAGCCATAGAAAATTGATTAAGAAAAATACCAAAATTTTCTTTCAAATTATTTTTATTTTCCTAAGTACTTTAAGTCTCACCTGAGACCATCTTCAGGGAGATTAAACTGTCTGTGTATGTGTATACATATTTCTGTAAACTCAAAACATTTTCACTGTTCATTTTACTGTGTTTTTTTTATCATTCCATATCAGTTTCAAATTCACAACGTTTTCTTTTTTCTATGCATTGAGAATTTTTATGTTATCTTCTGCTATCTCAATTTGCCTTTTCACAAGGTTACGTTTGAATTTCAATTTATATATATAATTGAATGACAAAATAGAAAAAATATAATTTCTGATATATATGCAAATTTATATTTCATATTCTCCCATATATATATATATGTGTGTGTGTGTGTGTATATATATAAATATATATATATATATATATAATTAAGAGATATGCCAGTTCTGCTCCCTTGGTTTCAACCTTTTGGTATCTTCAGGCAATTTCCGTCAACATTGTTTTTTTTGTTTTATTTTTAAATTGAATGAACACTATATTATTTAAAAATAAATTAATAAGTGCATGATGTGGGGTGTGGTAGAAGGAGTGGTGGAGTAAGAGAAAAGCAAGAGTATTGGAAATGTATTGGTGGGTGGGTAAATGAAATATACATACTTTCTTTTCATTCCGGCTCATATGAACTCGAACTTTTTAGTATGTATGCAATGGGTATATAATCACAAGTCATCTTTTAAACTAGAAAGTCTTAGGATTTCTACTAGACTAGCCAACTATGTATGGAAATTAAATGAAAGAAATTAAAAAGATCCAATTGTAAATTGGAAAATTTTTTAAAAAGCTACACCTTACAACAATCAAAGTAATATTTGTAACCTTTGTCAACAAGAAAAGTTGGCTATAATAACTTCCCCACCAAAAGAGCCTTTTGAATGAGAGATTGAAAATTGTTACCTGTTGCATACATACTAACAAGTTCATATGAGCTGGGATGAAAAGAAAGTATTTATATTATTTATATTTATTTTGATATGGAAACAATCATTTGATCTGATGTGCTGTAGCATTTAGCTACAGGGGAGCATCTGGTTAGCAAAGTCCAGATTAGTGTTTTTAAACACACAATTTTCAATCTCTGTAGCTAAATGGTATAGCACGTCAGATCAAATGACAGTTTCCTTATAGGCATACAGGTTCAATTCCAGTCGAAGAATGCATATTTTTTACGAAATTTCTTGAACATTCAGGCCAGTAAATGTAATTAATACTGTTTAATTAAAAAAACAGAGCATTTACTTAAATAAATTATATCTTTAAAAATAACATATAAACAGATAATATATTAAACAACTGTTGGACTTAATTCATTTCATTATATCTATCTATCTATGTATCTATCTATCTATCTCTCTCTCTATATATATATGTGAAAATATATAGAAAATAGGAAAGAACTGGTTAGGTAAATAATCCAAAGTTCCTTAGTATTTTAGTTATTATTTTAAAAAAATAGTATATCGATACAAAAGTATATATAAATATAATTATTTATTTAAAAATATGATTCCAACTCGCGACATAAGAGGTCTCATGTTTCAAAACAAGAGCCAAAAACTTCAATATAATTATTTGAATTAAATTGAGTTAAAGTAAGCTCTGTTCCATCTTCAAGCGAAATTTTTTTGGAATAACGTATTTCTGAAATTTACATGTTTTAATAATTGAAATCAAAATTTCCATGGTAACAGCTAGGGCGAATTGTTTAAATTGGGTAGGCGTGTGTTGGGTGTTAATAATAAGTATCAGTATAGAGTTACTTTCATAGATGTCAAGTCAGGGAAAGGTGGGGGTGTCTAAATTTGAAACGGAAGATGTTTTAGCCTAGTCTGGTTTACGTGTCTATGGAGATTTATTTATTTTTTATTTTATTTTTTATGAAAGGGATTTGTGCATATAAAAAAAAAAAACTGCCGTAACATTTGTTTTTGACGACTTCATAAAAGGGTTATTTTTTTTTTGTAGGGTATTTAAACTATTTATTTGGGCTATGGATTATAAAAGTTATTATATTGTATGCTTGTTTTTAGCTAATTATTCAAACCATGAGTTTGATGATGTCAACAAAAAACCGTTAACTCATGTCTATTGTTTAATAGATTATTATTATTTAGAAACTTAATAATGTGCAGTTTCTCATGGAGGCACAAAGGGCATGGGTCATCCCAAGTTTTACATGTTCTAGCCTTGTTTATAATTTTCCATTTTACTTTTGGTTTCCTATTTATTTTCTTCAGATGCCAAAAATATTTAGATAGGGATTTGGCATCTGAAGGAAATAATGTAAATAATGATAACTCCTCATCCCAGAAATTCAGGTAGGTAAACCTGTTAGATTAAATTTTTAATTGCATCCATCCTAATTTTGTTTTGTCATGACAGGTGGATTCTTTGAAACAACAACTGTCAGCTTCTGCACGAGAAAAGGAAAATTATGAATGGAAATGCAAGCAACTTTCTCAAGGTTTGGAAAAAAAGGTTAGAAATTTGGACACATATTTTTTCTTATTTGCAAAATGGATTTTTATTATTGAATTCTTTGTTTAATTTATTTCAAAAACATATTATTCTACTTTCTTCTATGTACAACCATTATCCTTTTCTATATTGGATCAGAGTGTATTATCTGTCTAATTCTCAGCACATTTTGCGATCACTTTGGCATTAAGACTGAAAAATCTATATAATAACTAGCAGCATGGCCCGGCGTTGCCCGTGCTCAATTCAAAAATTGTATGACTCATACAGCAATCGCTACCACTTGACGTAAAATATTTTTGCCCTTCCTTGCCTTTAAAAAAGTGCCCTTTGCCATGATGATGTTGCTGCATGACTTACTTCTTGCCTATCTCACACTGAATTTTTTCTAAGCTCTATACTAAACATTAAATCTGTTACGAAAAAAGAACTAAACAAAATGAACACAAAATGATCAGCTTTAAAAACGGACTCGATCTGGAAAAACCAAATGAAAAAAGAATGTTAACAACAAATACTTTTTCACACCCAACCCAGTTCTGCGGAATCAGAATCAACATTGAGTTTAAGCAAGCGAATGAGCCAATTGGAGTAAAGTGCCATGCAGATTTAAATTTTTCCCACTTGTGACAAATGCAGCTATCAATATTTTTTGCATGCTAATTAACATTCGTGTCAGTCAGCTGTTGGCTCTCACGCTGGCCAATAGAATCTTCCTGCCTATTCGTGGCAACCAGCTATTGGCTCTCACTCTGAAGGAAATGGCCGCAAACTACATGAAAACCGCCGTAGAAGCATGAAAAAATCGATTATTTCCACTATTGATGGGAGTTGGGAAATGCAAAACCAGTCTTGGCCTTCCTGCTAACTTGGAGCATGTGCATGTAAATTTTTGTGCAAATCCGTTGAAAATTGCGGCCGTGCATTCGTCACACACACACACATCCTGCCTTTTATAGATAGATATATTATTCTTCTCCTTGTTTGTATGTCTGTTTGCTTTTCTATGTCAGATCAAAATGTAGTATCTGCCCACTCTCCAGCCCTTCTGAGTTGGAATCAGTTATGCTTTCAAACTGAGCAACTTATATGATAAGATTAAGAGAGGAAGAATTTGGAAAGTCAAGGAATATGGAGAAGGGTAGGGGGAGTGTGAAAGAGGAAAGGGAGAAGGTATGATAGAGAAAAAAAATGAAAAGAAACCAGGTGAAAGGAAAAAATCTATATTTAATATTGTAGGAATGGATGAAAAAAAATCATTGAGAGGCAGACTTGCTGGCTGATTATTAATAAACAATGAGAAGAAAATTGAAAGGAATGTCAAAAATAGTGATAAAATTCTTTATGGAGAGAGATAGAACAAAAGAAAGGTAAAAGAGGAGATACAGCATAAAATATTTGTGCATTCTTTGTTATCTTGTAACATATGAAGCTAATCCATCTTTGTATAAAATTTAAATTAAAATGTTAGAAATGAAAATTGGATAGGATGAAGGAAAGAAAGAGAAGGTACATGTATAGGGTGAGAGATAATGGGTAATCTTAGTTTACTGGAAGGGATAAGGGAGACAATGAGAAGATACATGCAAAGAGAGAGAGAAGAGGCTTAGGATAGTTTTTGTTGATAGGGATACGAGACTGAGAAGATACAGATAAAGGGTGAGAGAAGAAAAGAGGCAAAAGATAATGAATAATCTTGGTTGTGTTTGAAAGGATAAGGGAAAGGATGAGAAGATACAGGCATAGGACCAGGGAAGAGCAGAGGCAAGAGATCCTGGATAACCTTGCAAAGAGAGAGAGAGAGAAGAGGCATAAGATAAAGGATAGTTTTTGTTGAACTGATAGGGATAAGGGAGAGACTGAGAAGATACAGGTAAAGGGTGAGAGAAGAAAAGAGTCAAGAGACAATGGATAATCTTGACTGTGTTGGAAGGGATAAGGGAAAGGATGAAAAGATACAGGCATAGGAAGAACAGAGGCATGAGATCTTGGATAACCTTATTAAGACTTGTGCAATTCTTAAGGTTCTGTCACTGAACAATGATGCTGTTTATTTTACTTTGCTGAAATCTTTGCATCAGCTTTGTATGATAGATTAAATAATGTAATTTAGCATTAAGAATGCATAATCTCAAGACTAAAGCCAAGGAAAAATAATTGATGACAACAATGATCCTATGAATTTTTATTATTAAAAAGACTTTGTCAAAAAATATGTTGGATACTTTTGCTTGAACCTTGTAAAAATGTAGGTAAAATACTCCTCCATACATTTTTTATATTGTTCTTCACTCAGTACAAGGCTCAAGAGCCACTCAATGTAGGTTGCTGAATGAGGCTGTTGTAAGGGTATAAAAGAAGGAATAAAGGCTATTTCATGAGGATATGTAAAAATGGTTAAGATCATAGTGATCAAACAAGCATCCTTTTGGAAGTCTGTTCCACAAAGTAATAGTTCTTGTGATGCTCTCTGAGTGGAGCTTCTTTCTTACTAATGGAATACAAAATGTATATGAGTGAGTTGATCCTGTGTATGTGGTATGACACATCTGAGCTGTGAAGGTCTAATCTGGTGGAACTAAGGAAGCTTGTCTGAACACTTGCCATGAAAATAATGATTGAGTAACAAGAGGTCAGCAACATTTTATCTGTGGGAAAGGGGTTGTAGGGTGGAAAATAATGCATCACCCACAAGGTTCCATAAACACTTTTGAATTTTGTCATGGCTGGAAAGTGTGCATTGGGCAGTTCAAGCCCAGAAAAGCGAGTAATTACCAAATTTTTAGACTGATCTTACTCTCGTAAAGATAGAGCATGGCAAGAGAAGTTAGTATTTTATGGAGAGCAAGTCAAGGAACCAACCATTTTGTTTTTATTTTTCTCTTGATCTTTTTGATTCTGAAAATTTTTAATCTGTATTAGCTTTTGTTATTTTACATTATCACAGTGCAGACAATATGAGGAAAGCCTCAATAAACAACATCGGTTGAAATTGGCTGTAACAGAAATGGAGAGAACTGCCCAAGATCATATCTTCAGTCTGGCTTCAGAGAGTGAAGCTGCAATTTCTGTGAGTCAGGAAAAACTTATTGAAGCCCATAACAAGATGGAACAGTTCCATCGATTCATTAAGGTAATATATGAAATTAACAATAATCAATTTTTTTTTTCATTAAACTAAAAAGATGTAATGCAAAAGAAAAAAAATTCAATAAAGTATTTTTATTATGATTGATTTTGAGCTATGATTTTTAGTCATGTGATGATCTTGATTGTGTTATAATAACTGCATCTGCTAATCATTTTGTGATTGATTTTGAGCCATGATATTTTAGTCTTGTGAGATACTGATTTTGTTATTATAACTAATTTTGCTGATCATTTCATAATAGACTTTGAGCCATGAGTTAGTGTTGCGAACTGACCAGACAAGAGCCATGGTGAAGAGGACTGAAATAAAAAAGCTTCGACAGGAAATGCCCTCTCCTCTTAGCTTGCAAAAGGCCAAGACGCTAGCCAAAGACATATTGAACATAAATGATGCAGAAATGGAAGACATCATGAAAGCTGACTCTGCCAGTGCCAAACTGGTATGTATTTTTCCAATTGTATGAAAATTAGTCTATATTCTAAAAAAATATCTTTTGTCACCTGAAATTATTTGTTGAATAGAATATTAATTGGCTGATAAAAGAAATATTTTTGAACTTTTGCTTACTGCACTTATTCTAAATCTCATGGTGTACAGATTGAACTTTCAATATTTGAATTTATTAGATGAAGTATTGTTAGCATTTAATATTATTTTGGCTTAGATTTGTTTTCATTGTGATTTTTATAGTTGCTTTTTATTGTAGGTTTACTCAGGCTAAGAGAATGTAGCATGAAGGGTGGCTCTAAAGGTTAGATTTGATCTCCAACATAGTTATCCAGTTTTAGTAGCTCAGTTGGTTAGATCAATTGGTATGTTTCCCTGAGGCAAAAGGGACAAGATTTTGGATTTCAACAAGAGTTTATCCTTCATTTCTGATCCTGTTCTGTCTACTCATTGCTGTAGACTTACCACTTGAGTAAAGTTGCAGTATACAGTGGCTAAACATTAAAATGAAAACATTATAAAAATTAATCAAATTTGACAGTGAAAGGATTAAAATAAAGATAATACTACTGCTATAAAACAAATATGACACCAGGAGAGATTGTGGAATGAACAGTGTGTTTAAAGGTTAGACTGGATCTTTGCATGACTGTCAGTTGTAGATTAAAGTTGATGTGTTTTAGCAGACTTTCCTGATGCAAAATTGACATAGTTTTTGAGAATTTATATTTCATTTCTGATCCTGTGCACTTTACTTGTTGTTGCAGACTGATATCTAGAGTAAAGTTACAATAAGAAGTAGCTAAAAATTAAAGTAAAAAAATTAATAAAAACTTAGCAATAATATTAGACAGTTTAATCAATTAAAGAATTAAAATAAAGATAAGACCATTGCTCTTAATAGTAGTAGCATAAAAAGAAATATTGTGGCAAGCAAGGCATATATACTTTTTTCAGCTGAAGTGAATTCTGTGTTTTCCATTGCATGCTCTGGAATTTTGTTGCTAGATTCTATTGAAAACATCATCTTTCAGCAGAAACAACTTTACATTATTCCAAAGATCATATAAACTATGGAGCAATGTTGTTTTTGCTCATCTGATTCAAGACACCATCTTTAAGGAATCTTTCTATCATCCAGTTCACACTCCTCTCCAGTAAAAGAAGGGATGAAACATGAAATATTTGTGTATTCCTTATTCCTTTTTCACTTGTGAAACTAATCCATGTTTGTATAACATTGAAATTAAAATGTTAGCAATGAAAATTGGTTGGGATTAAAGAAAGAATGAGAAGTTACATGTATAGGGTAAAATGAGGCATGAGATATTGGATAATGTTTGTATTAGAAGAGATAAGGGAAGGGATGAGAAGATACAGGCATAGGATCAAAGAAGAGGCATGAAATGTTGGATAATGGTTGTATTAGAAGGGATAAGGGAGAGAATGAGAAGATACAGGCCAATGGCCAGAGAAGACCAGCAGCATGATGTCACGGATAATCTTTTTTGTATTGGAATGGATAAAGGAGAAAATGAGAAGATATTGGCAAAGGGTGAGATAAGAGCAGAGGCATGAGATATTGGATAATGGTTGTATTAGAAGGGATATGGGAAAGAATGAGAAGATACAGGGTAAGGGTTAGAGAAGAGCAAAGGTAAAAAATATTAAATAATCTTTGTTGTATTGGAAGGGAGTAGAGGTTTATCCCTTGTTTCCTGTTTAGGATTAGGTTTCTAGTTCCTTCTAAACTTGTCTCATTCTCTTTCACTGCCAGTAGCTCTTTGCATCTTACTTGGGTGAATTGATTAAAAAAAAAAAATTCTTAAACCTTGTTACAATCTGCTTCAATATTTCTCTATTCATATTCAGTTCTTCTGTTGCATAATTAATCTTCAATCTGAGTGCACTAAGGTTTACCTTTCTTTATCCTTTCTAGTTGCACACTTCTTGCATCATCATGCACATCTACTTGCTCTTCCTTGAACCAGTGTGCAATTAAAAAAAACACTTGATTTCTTTGTAGAATGTTCACCATTAAGCACTGTTATGAATCTTTGCACAAAACTTGATGTCAATCCAGTACTCCAATTACCTTTCACTCTTTTTCCATCAACAGTACAACAGGAGCACATACAACTGCCTCTTCTGCTAGGCAACAAATCACACATCTGGTCTATGTTTCAAGAAAGTAGAATTTAGAACATGTCTGGATGTGCTTGGATACAAATGTTAGGCTGACTTGCTGCAGTCATTCTGAAAATTTAAAGTAAAACTAATTACATTTTATACTAAATTTAACATAACCAACTTAATCATATGCAATAAGACTTCTCTGTTGATTAGTGTCATTAAAAAGACCAACTTTGTATATCAGTTTAAAGGTCTTTTGGGAGATTGTATATCTGACAAAAAAGTAAGTGCATGTGTTTGTTTGATGACTACAACATTACCAAGACATGTTCCACTTCATTTGTCAGATACAAATTCTATTGCCTAACATATAAAGACACATACCTGTCCACTTTCACAATACAGGAAAATACTTGTTGACAACACAAATATACTAGACCATGAAAATAATAAACAAAAACTTCAAATTCTTGAGGCCATCTATATCAAAAGCAAACAACCAACACTAAACAAAATTTATTATGACTGTAGCAGCAACGTTGTTTAAATGCATTTGATTAACATTTAATGATACTTTGATTTCTACAATTTCTGATTATCCCTCTTACATTGGGATGATTGTGTTGAAAAAAAAACACCATTGCTACAACTGATAAATCTCTTATTGTATCTGCAAAATACAAATCTATTAGACATAATAATGAAACTTGATAAGGTTGAACTTACCATTGAATTTTTAATCAAATTTGAAATAAACAATTCTCTACTTTCTTTGGCATCTTATTAATATACATCAATAAGAAATTAGATTTTGGAATTTATCGTAAACCCACTAGCAAAAATGATCTCATCAACTTCTATTCAAACCACTATGAAAGAATAAAATCTGGACTAATCATAGAATTCTACCTCAGAGCCATTAGGATATGTAGATCAGAATACCGAAATGAAGAAGAGAAATATATTGAGAAAACTTTCAAGCTTTTATCAAACAAACATTTTTGATAAAAAATAAGCATACATAATATAAAAGACTGGTCCAGACTTAATAAAACAAAGTTTTATTGTCAAAATCTTTATTCGATAAAGTATGCCACAAAGACCTGCTGGAATTGCTTAGCAACCTTGACATATTTGGTAAGGCCATTAGAATAATCACAAACAAAAATACAGATAGAAGATGAGTTTAGCAGACATAGAAAGAAAGCTACAAAAACTCTTGCAGAATGGTAGTGAAGGAAAGTGAGAAGAAAGGATTAAGCATCAACTGCAAGAAGACAAAATGCATGGTTGTTAGCAACTGGATGAACCCAGAATGCAAATAACAAATTGGAGATACTAAAATAAGTACAAAAATTTAATTATCTGGAAAGTGTTTTAGCAGAGGACACTGAAATCCATGATATCTCTCCTCTTATATTACAGTGAATACTGGACAATCTCCTCAAAGATGAAGAAGAGACTGGAAACAATGGAAATGTGGATCTACAGAAGGCTGCTGAGGATACTATGGACCAAATATGTGACCAACGATGAAGTTTTAGAGAAAATGTAAACAAAAAGGATACTAATACTTAATATCAGGAAGAGACAGTTGAAATTTCTAGGGCACATAATGAAGAAAGAGGGCTTGGAAAATCTGATACTGACAGGACATTTTGAAGGCAAGTGGAACAGAGGAAAACAATACATGACATACTTATTGAGCTGGAGTAAATGGATGGCAGAACAGGGTTTAGGAGAAATAAAAAAAAAGACAAAATTTATTAAGAGCTACGAAGAAAAAGAAATTGTGGAGAGGCATATCTGAGAGGATATGGCTCATAAAGCTGTTCAGTTTTTAGTGAAAATTTGCAGGTACCTACATATCTATGATGTCTATTTTTATGGAACATTAAAAATTATTATCATAATGTTGACATTATTACTACTGCTACTATGCTACTACTAAGTAGTAAGGTCTGTTAGCCAGCTAACACAGATGCTGGCCTTTTCAGCAACCACTGCATACCCACTCTATAAAGAGAAACAGAATTCATCAGATTATTGCAAGAAGAAGATTGAACATTCAAAGAAATTCCAAAACCAGATATCCTTAATATCACCCTAAGCAAGGTGGGAGTGCCACTAGCACACAAGGGATTACAGAGAGTGAGAGCAAGAGCAAGAAGGGTGTTTGAGGAAAGGATAAAGAGGACTGGGATCAAGATCAAGGCATCAGAAGATGACAATTGACATTACATTTGAATATTTGAAGATTACAGCTATCAGGGAAGCAAGTAAGTCGCGAAGAAGCTGTTAGAGTAGAAGAGATGGCTACATTTAACCATTTCAATAGTGAAAGGGTGGGACTGAGATGCCAACCTAGTCGCACACTTAAATTCATGCAGTTTGGGTACCAGTGAAAGTAGCTCGTCAGAGCAGTTGACATGAAAATATTTGTAGAAAAGACAGAGGGAAGCCACAACATGTCTATGAGAAAGTGGCTGTAGATGAGATGCCAAATCAGGACCTAAATAATTGGCCAATGTTAATTTGACAGTGTGTTGAAATGAGCAGTTATTTTATGCAATAAAAATTTAGTATTCTTTTCAGATGTTACTATACATGGAAATAAAAGCAAAACCTGTTTTAGAAGATCTTTCTTCTGGACTATCTAAAGACTATGTGTTTCCAGTCAAGCTGAATTTCCAGTTTCTTACATGTAACATTTATGACAGCTTTGAATTCTGCAAGACTAAAGTTGGTTTCTAAGAAAACATGGTTTTGTGATTTAAAGTTGTTTGTTTTAAGATTGGGTTGTCATTTTCTTGGATCAGCTTATCAGGAAATTTTTGTTTTTATTTCAGGAACAGGATATTGCAAAAGAGCGAGAAAAAGATAAAAAATGGCTGTCATTGTGTGAACATACAATGAACTCTCGAGATAATTTTGTAATTCCACTCATTGACCTTTTTCTTCAGAAGTTGGAAGAAAAGGATCATCTCCTCAGCAAACTCAATGAAACATTAAAATAAAGAAAAAAAATGTGCCTTCATCATTTTTCTTAAATGTTTTTTCTTTTTTTTTCTTTTATCAGCATGTTTATTTTATATATTTGAAAATAAAGCATTGGAAATGTTTTTACTTATATAGTGTTTCTTTTTAATTTGATTAATACTTTGGTTCCTTAAAATTTTAAATGGAAAAAACGAAAACTAAATAAGACACCATTAGCTCTGTTGACTTTTCAGTGTTTGTATTAGAATAGTGGTAATATTAATTTTTTTCTTATCTGATCAGTTCGATAAGGTCAAATTGGTGGCTGATCTAAAGAATGACCTACAGTCTGTTGTTAACTGAAACAAAGAATGGCTTGTTAATTTTAACACCTACCAAAGCAAAACAGCTGTCTATTAATCACCTGAGAGACCTCTTACTGCCTTCTATTAGCATGGCTAATGCTAACCTCCAAGAGAGTGAGTCATTGTATTTTCTTGAGTTAACATGAAGTGGAAAGACTATATTGAATTCATTGCTAAGTCTGCTGCTAAGAAAGTTCACTGTATTGTGCTAGACATTTTTTATCTTCAGAATATATCTTACATATCTATAAATCTACCATTCGTCTTTGCTTTGAATATTGTATGCTACATATGTTCTGGTGTTCCTGCTATATATTTAAAGATTCTTGATAAAATCCAAAGAACAATCAGTAATATTATTAGTCCTGAGCTGGTGTCTTGGTTTCAGTCACTTTCTCACCATCCTAAAGTTGCTTCCCTGTGCCTTTTCTATAAATACTTTCATGGTAATTGTTCGGATGAGATGTTCACTATGGTAGCTGGAGGCTTCATCAGTTTACAGTTGAATTGGCTCGATGTAATTGTATGTTCTATGCTAGCAGCTACTTTTCTCACACTTCTCACTTGTGGAACTCTCTTCCAGTTCTGTGCTTTCCAGTCAATATTGATCTTCAAAAATTTAAATGCAATGTTAATCATTATCTACTGTCTTCCTGATCCCTCTTCTATTTTACTTGCTCTTTAATAATGTTCTGTTTTCTAATTCTTTCACACCCAGTAACCCTTTGTGTCTTAGTGTCTTTATTGCCTTAGGGTGAATTCGGTTTAAAAAAAAAAAAAAGGAAACCTTCAGCATTCATTGACTAAGCAGCCAGTGTTACTTTTAGTTAAAATTTAAAAATTTTTCTCTTAAAATAATTTTTCAGGAAAATAGGTTTCTCAAGTCCTCTAACTGTAATCACACTTTCCCGTACTGATAGGGGTTTCTTTCCTAAACTTTTGTTTGAACTAGTGTGGAATGTCAAATTCTTGATTATGTCATTATTGTCTTTGCAAATTCCATGTGATATCCATTTTCGTTGTTGCTGCTGTTGAAAGCCTTCACATGAAGTGGTTTCTGTTATTTTGTACAGTTCTTTATTTCTGATTCTATGGTGCCAGTCCATAATTTTCAAAGAAGGTTGGTCCTCACTAAGAGTTACAGTCTTCATTCACTGAAATCTATTTTTAACCATTTTACAGGAAAATAGCTTTCTGAAGTCCAGTAGCTGTTATTGTTCTTTCCAGTACTGATGGGTTTTTTTTTTTCTAATCTTTTGCTTGAAGTAGTGTAGAATGTCAACATCTTGAGTGTGTTATTATTTTCTCTTTGAGTTACATGTGCTATCCATTTTAGCTGTTGAAAGCTCTCAAGTGGTGTGGTTTCTGTTATTTGGTATATAATTCTTTGTGATTCTCTAGTGACAGTCTACAAAATTCAAAGAAGAATGGTCTTCACTTAGCCTTACATTTGCTTGAAGCCATTTTAACCATAGATCTTAGAAAGTGGTTCTATACAGCTGAGAGTTTAGACATTTCTGAATGTGTTTGGTGCCATACATAACATTCATATGAAAGTCTCAATCTAACTTAGTGATGTAAAAACATGACTCTAGTTCTTAGGTTAAGGTTTTTGTTTTGTAGCAATTTGTGGTCAAATTTTAATGTTTTAATGTGACAGATTTAATTGACTCATCTGAAACAATAATGACTGTGACCAGTTGTGTGATCAATATGAATGCCTTTAAATGGAAAAGTAACAGTTGAATTATGATCATATATATATCATATATATATATATATATATATATATATAAAAAAAAGAAAGGTGTAAAAATAACTTGGACTGATTTTTTTAAATGTGAAAAGTTTAAGCATTTTTGTTTTTTTTTTTCAGATTTAAAACTAATTTTTTTGTTAATTTCAACTATGGAAAGATTAACAATCAAACAAGTTTATTAAAATTTTATGAGTGCAATTAAAAAAAAAATTTTTGAAGTAATTAAATGTTCAAAAACAATTTGGGTCAGTGGCACCAATTAAATTGAAAAAAAATTGCAAATGAAAAAAATAAAAAGAATGCCATCATTTGAAAAACATCAAAAATTTGCAGTGTAAAAGATTATACAAAGCAATATATTCAAACATTATCTATTAATTTCATCTGTTCATGAAATTTGAATCTCTCTACAACAACATTACATCATTTTCCAATTGCACTCTTGGTTGGTCAATTATGTTAATCAAAAATGTTACTAAAATGCATTTTGTTTGAACATCCATAAAAAAGGGTTCTGTTTCGATAACATTTGTTTGTTGAAGTTAAAAATTCCATGGTTGAAATTGAGAAAAATTTGAATTTTTTAAAGAAAAAGAAATATAAAAAAATCATTAGCTTGCTTAAATTTATATTTAATGAATTGGTAAGATTGTTTGTTTTGTTTTGTTTCAACACAATATTTGATAATAGTGATTTAAAGACGAAAAATTTTTTATTGTCATGGTATCTATTTGAAATTCCAACATGTTTTGAATTTCTAATATCAGAGGCATATTCAAAAAAGTTATTAATATATAGCAAATGAGATTAAAGTAATAATAAATCAAGATAATTAAAAAAAAATGAGAAAAATTTTTCATATTAAAGATTTCCATAGAAGATTGATATTAATTTAGGGCTCAACTATTTGCCTAATTTTTAACTTTGTAGGTTTTATGACACTTGTTGTCATTAGGATCCAATGGAATACTCAGTAATTACATTTGTTTTTCCATGCTCCTCAAAATTGCTGAAAGTCTATTCCTTAAACACATAAACTAAATTTCTCATTAATTTTTGTAAATCCAGATTTTACAAAAAGACTGATGCTGTGGAAAGTTCTCTATCTGAATGTTGAGTAGAGTTAATTTTTAGATTTGAAAAATTATTTTTAGAACTAGTAAATGCTCATAAAACAAAATATTTTTCACCATGCTATTCTCAGCAATCATTTTTTTTTAGAAAATCTTTCTTCATTTTTTAAAAATTATGGAATTTTTAATCTAGGAAAAGATCCATTAAACAAATTTACCTGTTTTATTTTTTCTAAAGAATGTTTTCTGTAATTTTTAATGTCTTATCAATTGTTTTGGGAAGTTTTAATTTCAAGCAATCTTAATATGTATGATTTTCAAGAAATCAATTTTTTCATTCAAAAAAATTTTTTCAAATATTTAAAGTGTTTAAAACTTAAATGGTACCATTACTGTTTATAAATTTACAGATTTGAATTTCAAAAAAAAAAAAAAAGATAATAAATTTATGATATTGGAATGAAATGGAGAAAAGTATGAAAGAAATAAAATTTACTAAATATATGAAGATGAATTGTTGGACATTTTTCTTTTGTCGAAAATGCCTTGGACGAAATAGTGATATGCCGAAAACTGTTGATTATATTCTAAAAAAAACTGCATCATTTTTGCTGTGTGAGCCTGGGGAAAAAGATGAAAAAAGACTAGAATTAAAAGAGAAAAACAAAAATTTTTTTGCGTTAAAATTGCCCAATAGAAAAATGTTTATTCTCTTTATAGGGTTTAGATGTTTGCAAGAAATTTTAAAGATATAAAATCATCTCAATTTACAAAACCTTTTAAGTTATTTCTTAAATATAAGGAAAACAGTTTTTTTTGAAATAAAATTTACGTTTAATTTATTTCCAAAAAGGAAGTTTATAGTGATTTTGTTTCTATAAATTTTAAAATCATCGAATCTTCTGATAATCAATAAGAAAGAGTTTTCTTTGAACAGAATGAAGGGAATAAAATTTAAAAATGAAAAATAAAGGATAGAATATATCAATAATTATTTTTCATTTTTAATTTAATTATAGGTTAATATTAAATATTAAATATATATAGAAAAAAATTTCAACAAAAGAATTTAATAATTTTCTTTATCAAAAATATAAAGAAATCTCCATTGTCATTTTGGGGATTAAAATGGGAAAATTTAAATAAAAAAAAAAAATGTTCAGAATGACAAACAATGTAAAAGTAATTTTATTCTGAAAATAAATTTATTAATATACTTTGTTATCTCTTTTCACTCTTAAATTTAATAGCAAAAAATCGTTGAATTATTCAGGGATCATTTTAATTTCAGACATTTTCTTGGATTTTCCATCACAAACTTCGAATTTATGATAAGAGAAAAAAGCCTGTGATTACTTAAAAGCGCCTCAAGTCATTTTCGAAAATTGTTTAAATTTAATTAGAAAAAGTCTACGTTCTTTTACAATAAAATAACAAATTTTCAGTCTTCAATTAAAATTCAAATCTTTTCAAAAAACCAATTGATTTCTTAATTTAAGAAACTAATTATATGAATAGATGTCAGGATGTTTGAAAATAATTTAAAAATAAAATTATCAAAAAGATTTAATAGTGACAATAAAATTTAATAAATTTGTTTTTTAATTTTATTAAATATGTTTCAAAAGGCAAAGAATGTACACAAATTGAAAAGAAAAAATTTATTTTTATTTGGGGTTTAGTAAATTTTTTTTTTTTCATTCTTTCAAAAAAAATATATTGCTTTAAAAAATATATTCAAAGATATTTCTTGAAATTTTAATGTTTTGTTTAGAAGAATATATTTAATTATTAGGGAACAAATAAAAAATTTGCACTTCACTGATTGATGTTATATTTCT